GGACAGTTTTTGTTGACCCACGGGTACAGGGAGGTGACATCCACATAACGTATTTCCTCACCCTCTCCAGCCACGGCATGCAGAGCCACTGTACCGGTTCGACTTCCAAAGAAGGCTTCACGGGGTTCCAGGGGTGCGACCAGATCAAATGAAGTCAGGAAACGTTGGACTGCTTCATCAGTGTCCACCAATTTGTCCCATTCACATTCCCACATTTCGATCACCGTGTAGCCTGCTCGGAGCAGTGCCGTGCGTTTGGAGAGCGTGGCTTGATAGAGTTCTTCGACGCTTCTGTCCGGCACCGCATAATGTTTGACGTTTCTCATGGGATAACAGCGGGGACAGCCGTGATAGAGACATCCATGAAACTCGTAGATGGTGCGAGTCAGGGGATCGTAGCCATCGACGAAATGACTGTGGGCGCTGGTTCGGATAGACTGTTCGCCCCCATTACGAACGTGACGAATGCGATCGGCACTGGCCCCCTCTTTGGGAATGAGGTGTTCTTGGTAATAGAGCCATTGTAGGGCCTTGAGGGATTGATTGACTTGGGCCCCTCGCCAACCCCCCGGAGGTTCCACAGCAATGGTGTCGGGGGTCAAATGATGCTTGCGCCAATACAGATTGCAAGCACTGGCCATGGGGATGCACTTGGCCATGGGATTGAAGCCAGCCTGCCGTTGAAATTCCTCTTGAAAGGCTTCGCACCCGGCTTTTAACAGAGCCACATCCGACTTGCAATACTCAATCATTTCTTGTTTGAAATGGAAGGGCACGTTACGACGGACTTGATCCGCATGCCAACGGGTCAGTTCCTCTTTCTTTTTGGCCATCATGCCGTCAGGATCATAAAACTCCAAATCGGGCCGGGGATGCGGCCCACATACTGTTGGTGATCGGGGGTATTGAACAAATGGGGAAAGAACCCCTTCTTTAATTCGGTTAAATTGAAGGTGCTGGGAAAAGAGGCGAGTGGCATAGGCAAGAAACACAGCGAGTCAATGAATTTGATAGATCCACTCTTGAAAGATAGGACTTTGGCCCCCACCGTCAGTTGATCCACAACCTCGCGTTGTTGCTGGTAGAGTTCATGGAGAATAAACATACCATCAAACCCTTTCAAATTGTGAAACACCACGAGTATCGTCCGCTCATCCTCACTGTCCGGAACGTCAGTGCGATCATCCAAATCGCGCAAAAATTGTAGGGTACAGTCCTCCCCGTCCAATACATGAATGGTCGTTTCCGCGCTTGACGAATAACACAGCAAATTGGCCACAAACACCCCTTCCGCATTTTGCATGGCTTCAAAATCCGCGTAAACAAACAGGGGAGGGGGTGGCGCCACCATGCTACCTCCCCCCTCCTCTGTTGGTTCAGTCTCCTCGTGTTCCACCACGGGCTGAATGTAACATTTGTGGTCCTGGATGAGCACCCATTCCTGACACACGGGACACTTAGCGTACCCGCACTTGTGACGTTTGTTGGGGGCGACCGTGTATTGGGCTTGACACTTGAGACAACTTTTGATGGATTGACATTGTGCACTGACTTCATGATGTCGTTTGCATTGACCGCCGTAAAACTTGCGATGACACAGACTGCAATACTCGGTGGGGCGGGTGCCACGCACATAATCCGGACAATCAAAGCGCCCACACGCGGAGCAGCGTCTCCCTTGACAAGTGTGATGGGTCTGATCGTTGGTGTTGAACCCTCGTTCACAGTCCACACAATAATAGGAGCGGTTGACAAACGCGGGAAAGGACGTGCAGCCATCAAAATGATCGTTGGATTTGAGTAAACGAATCTGATGAGGGGCAGCGGGGCCTTTGAAGATCAAAAAGAACGGTTTCATTAGGGTCATCACTAAGAGTTGATATTGAGAGCCCAATGCTTGTTGAAATTGACGAAGCTCGGTTAAACCACAGGGACCCTCAGCGACTCCCGCTTGCTGATGTAAGGCCTGGGCTTGACGTTGCTGCACAGGAAGCCCACGTTTGAGATTGTCCCAGTCGCGAAACCCGTCCACGCCTTGATCTTTATGGCAATGGGCTCGCATGGTGACAATGGCACGGGCACAGCATAAGGCATCTCTGTTTTTGATGGAGATGATACATTTCTTTTTCTTATTGACTCGATCCAAGCATAAACGTCCCGCATTGAGTTTTTTCTTATGTCGACCGGACCCTGGGCCAGGCATGGATACGAACACAACATCCACTTGGAACCCGCGATCGGGGTTGAAGGCTTCATTGCTGTTTAATTTTCCAGCCAGGGTGGCCAACATCTCATCCAAACGAGCGGTGCGTTGTAAAAATTCCCCCACGGTGAAATTGGCTGTTTGATAAGCGTGGGTGAACCCGTGAGTTGTAATGGCAAAGTTCACAAAATGATGGGCGGATCGCTGCTCTCGGCCGAGTTCCGTTTCAATGGCTTGGTGTAATGCTTCGGTTAACACCATGCCAATATTGTCCCCAGGAACAGGATCCCTCAATTGACGCAATTGCGCGTTGAATTGCGCCCGCTCCACCACGTCACGCCAGCGGCGTCGTCGACCAATGGGTTGCATGGTGAATTGGAAGAGAGGGCCGCGGGCGGCGGCAGCCCCTCCCAGTTGTTCCCACCGGTCATAGGCGCGGTTTAACAGAGCATCCTCCTCATCATCATCGTCACTGAAAGGATACCAGGAGTCTTCCGCCATGACGGAGGAACACAATTTGAATTTCCCGCGCCAGACGCTGGCTTTTATAGACCCAAAAACACGTGATCACGCACGAGCTGGGATTGGTGGATAGGGCTCAGGTGAGAATCAGGTGAGGGGTTGATTTGACAGGAGGAGGATTGAGGGGGGTGCCCCCCATGGGTACAGACTTCTCAAGTCTCCTCTGAGCCTGGACCGAGATCGGTGATTGGCGGAGGAAACCCTAGTTATAGTCCAGCGTCCAGAACAGTCGTCAGTGTTGTTCGAGAATGCCCAACAAAAATCCCGAGAAGGCGAAACAGCTGAAGCACAAGTGGTACATGAGAAACAAAGAGAGAGTGTTACAACAGAAGCGTGAGAAGCGGGCGGCTCAGAAGAAGCTCAAACCACCCAAACCACCCAAACCAGCCCCCACACTAGAGCAGATTGCGAGAGCCCGAGAGTTGAATCGGCTGGCCTGTAACCGTTACCGAGCCGGCCATTTGTCGCAAGTGCGGGCTCTGAACCGCGACTATTATCATCGTCACCGCGAGCGGATTGTCCAGCAGCAACGGATCCGTCGTGCCCGGAACAGACAGACTCCCAGTCCGTTCCGAAAGTTGCGTGCGTTGGCAGACGTGTGTGCTGCCCGATTGTTAGAGTTGGATCATGGATATGCCAGGATTGCGCCAGCCCCCCAAGAAAAAGCGGGACCCTAAAAAAGACAAACAAAATCAAAAACTGTATCGGCAGCGCAAGTACGCTGCCCTGAATGGGATCGAGGACGTGAAGGCTGTGCACCGTCGACGCTACCACGAACGAATGGCCCGTATGAGAGCCAATGGGGAGTACGAGGCCTTTAAGGCCAAAAAGACCCGAGAGGACATGCGACGCTACCATGCCATGACCGAGGAGCAGCGAAGTGAGGTCAAACGCAAAAACGCCCAGTGTCAACGAAAATGGATGCAAAAAATGAAAGACAAGGGGATGTACGAGGCCTACAAGGAGCGATTGAATACGCGGCGGCGGGAGATCGAGGCCGAGAAAAAACGAGTGTTGGGCGTTGAGGGGTGGAAAGCCCTGCAGAGTCAAGGATACGAGAAGCGGGTGGAATCGATTCGACGTCGAGAATGGCGATGGTTGGACGAGGAATTAGAGCGTCCCTTTCCCTTACCGTGGTTGCCCTTGGACTGGACTGAGTCCGAGCCTGAAGAGGACAGGGTGCAAACCCTTCGCGCTGAGGCATTACAGCAAATGGACATGTACTTGTAAGAACAAAAAAAGAGTTTATTAAAACATGTGTGATTCAACAAGGTTGTCTTTTTTTTATGACTAAGGGGTTTACATGCCCAATCGGAGTTTGGTTTTCATAATGCGTCTAACAATGCGTTCCGTCAGGGATTTGCTGCCGGGGAGTTGATCAATCTTGGCAATCATCTTGCGATCAGCCGCCCATTTCTCTTTCAAATTCTTGGCTTTATCATAGTCCATGTCATGGGCTTTGGCAATCCTGTCCAACCGGTTGATGCCGGGATCCCCACGGGCCAATCGTTTTTTCAAATGGGTGCCAGGTCCCATGTACTGATAACCGGGCCAACGAAATTCAATGCCCGTTTTGTTGAGGAGGTTTTGCACATCAAATAACTTGCCTCCACGTTGCGACCGTCGTCGACGTCGGGAGCGGGGCGCAGCACGGCGTCTACGAGTCCGTCCCATTTTACAGGGTTTTCCACGTTTTCCAATCCAAGGCTTTCTTGGCCAGACCTGCGGCTTTCTTTTTGGCGACACCAGTGGCTTTTTTGCGAATCCCGCGCTTGAATGATTGCTTGATAGAGTCCACACGTTCTTTGGGGGTATCCCAAGGCGATGTTCCAGGCTCCTCGGAAAAAGGCAACTCGTGCGCCAACTCGGCACTGCTCAACGGGGTAGTGAACTTGACTTTCTTTTTGGCACTGGGAGTGATGTGGGGTCTGGGCGGGACAGGTGGTTTTCTGGGTCCACGAGTGGGGGTGCCTTGTTTTATACCCTGGGTGGCCTTGACCAATTGCGTGAACCACGCTTGCATCGGGCCCGCCTCAAAACCATCATCGCCCGGGGTCGTGGCCCCTGCTGCACTCACACCCCCGGTCGGGGCTCCAAACGGTTGGCGCACTTTTTTGGTCCAATGGCGTAATTGACGGCTCACGGCTTTGAGTTGAGGCCGTTTCCAAGCATCGGGGGCATCGCTGGTCAGGAGTACATGTTGTTTGGCTGCTAAATCGGCGGCTTTGGTCAAGCGGGTATCTTCCACCAATTCTTGTTTGTACTGGTCTCGTAATTATAAAAAAGCAGGGGCGTTGTCCACCGTGGTGCTCACCATCTCGGGTTCCATGGTGCAACTGAGGTGTCTTGTCTAGCGCATGCAACGTTTATAACATCGGTAGAGTTCAGGCCAGAGGGCGCCCCCTTTTTGAGCCATCATGATGGCGCGTCGTCGTTTGACGGAATGGGCGGGTTTGGCCATGGCGCGTAGACTCTGGGCGTGGGGTTTGAGCAACGTGATGGTGTGTCGGGAACGGGGCACCGTGCCACGGAGGGTGTTCATCACCAATTCACTGATAGCATTGATCTGATCCGCATTGGCCATCCGCAACAATTCTTGTCGTTTGTGTTGATTGGCTTCTTGTAAGACACTTTTTAAGAACGGGGCTTGACGTTCCATGCGCCACCCCATGATGAATCTTGAGTTCAGGCAACGACCAAGGTCTATTTATGGTAAAAATGGCTCCACACCTACCACACAATTCGCCATGATAATGCGTTTGCATGTGATCTCGACACCGTGAACACAAGGCCGCTTCATACTGGTCGTCCCAATCCAAAGCAAACGTGACGGCTTTTCGTTTGGGTCGTCGGTTAGTCCGGGCGTCGAATACGGACTCTTGGTTTGTATTTCCTGAGCCACAGAGGCGAGAGAGCCATTGCCAAAAGCGGTAGCCTAGCGCCGCGTTGTAATCCACGTCGCCGGAGTCGTATTCGAGGGACATAACGATGTCGGCGACCGTTGGGTCCACGGACCATCTTTCAACTAACCCCTGTTCAGGCCCACGAAGGTCCTTTTATACGTTTTCACATGATCGAACAATTAAACGATTCCCCCGCATAGCGTTTCCGTTTGCCTGAGGCCACTTCTCGTCGACGTTTTTCGCCAATTTTGATGGCACGCTTGGTTTGATGATCCCCTATGGCTTTGGTGATCCCATAACCGGCTTTGAGAATCCCTACAGGCAGGCCGACTCCAACACCCCCCACTTGACTATAGGTCACACGCCGTGGTCGACGTCGAGTCGTGCGTTTGCGTTTGCGCCTAGGGGCCATCGCGTTTCGACAACGGCCACACATTTTGGGATGGTGGGAGGAAGGACGCTGTTTTTATGTCCTTTTCACGGGCGTCGACTCCGTCCGCGTGCTCGGCCACGGCCACGGCCCCGTCCTCGGCGTGGTGGTCTTGGTGGACTTGGGCTGGACGTGCGGGTGGACGTGCGACGTACCGATGGTCGCCCTCCTCCATCTTCGTAGACCGTGGTGACTGTATTGGTGTGCGTGATGTTGCGAATACGTCTGCCCCGAGCACGTTGTTGAGCATCTTCATTGAGCAAATCCCACCGTCGCCTTAATCCCCGACGTCGATCGTCGTCATCATCATCGTCATCCTCGTCCTCGGACGGAGGGGACGAATCGGGGGACGGTGGGGAGGGCACGCGGGGACGTCGTCGCGGTTGTTTGGCAGCGATGGTGGGGCGTCCGATGGGGGTTGTCACCGTGGAGGTGGTGGTCCTGGTCCCTGCCCCAGCGCTGCGGCGATAGGTGGAGGGGCGTGAGGGAGCGGTGGTGGTCGTGGCGGTGGTGGCAGGGCGTGTTCGGGTAGAGGTGACGGGTCGTGGTCGACTGGTCGTGGTGGTCGTGGGGCGTGTTCGGGTGGACGTGACAGGTCGTGTTTGGGTGGTCGTGGTGATGGAGGGTGGTGGCGGTGCCGTGGTGGTGTTGGTGGTGTTGACGGGGGCAGTGCCGGTGCCAGCCACGGGTGGTAACGTGAACGCATTCAAGGCATCATTCACATTGACCGGGTAGGTCAAATTGAAATCCTCAATCTCTTGATCCAATTGGGCACGATCCACCGGTCGAGTCAATTCAGTCACCATGTCCGTCATGCTGCTGAGATCCTGGGGTGGAGGGGGCGCCGTGGGGGAGCCCACGCCGGCGGGCGAGAGGGTTGGCGTGTCCATGCGGGCTGCTAAATCAGTATGTTGTCCGCCTTCTCTTTGCCGGCGGACCCTGGCGAGTTCTCGTTGCAGTTCGTTGTCGAACGGCAGGGACATCCGCACGCAAGGTGTGGACTTGCGCTTTGCCTTCTCGGGGCGTTAAATGACTCCACAGGCGGTAGCGATCATCCGACGCAGGATGCACATCCAACATCAAATAGCCAAAGGGGCGGGACGTGATGCGTTTAAATAGGCGCAAGACTTGACGCCACCGGTCAGGATAGGCTTGCAATAAAATGGTCCGTATACCTGTTTGATCCCGGGGGTTTTTGAACGCCACAATGTAATGCGCGTTGCGATTGATGGTCTTGGAAAATTTGCCAGGCGGGAATAAATCTTGCGTCAAATACAGCACCGTGATGTTGCGATGATGAGAATCTTTGGTGAACAAATCCAACACGCGCTTGTCTTGTCCCCCTTCTTCCATCAGGTCGTCCAAGACCAGCACCCCTCCGCGCGTCCGACCAAACCATTGAGTCAAATGACGGGGGTCCGGTAACCCGCGATGAAATTGAATCCCATCCTTTTTTTGCATACGATCGAACCGGGGTTGCCAACGATCATAGGCATAAACAATCTTGTGGGATTTGACTTGAAAGACATTCAGGTTCCGTAACCATTGTTCCACCAATTCGCTCTTGCCACTGCCCGACGGACCAGCGATGATCACACTACTGGGTTGTCGGATCATGATTCCCACGGTCGAGGATGACGTCGATAATGACCTGTGGCCCCTTTGGCACCCATGCGTTTATACCGTTTGTCGCGTCCCAATTTGTCGCCAATTTTATACGCTTTGGCCAACACGCTCATGATCCCGCGCCCGTTTTGGCGAAAGCAGGGTCGTCGGGTGGAGGTGCGCCGTCGTCGTCGTCGTTGTCTGCGACTGGGCATGCCGTCCAATACTCGCGGTATAATCGTGGCGATTCGAACTGAATCAGACGTTCCATGGTCTCTCTTAAATACGTTTCGCTCATACTGTCCATGTAATGTTTGAGGGAGACCCAGTCTTGGTCTTGCGCCAATTGTCGAGCCATTAACCAATGATACCCATCCCACGCGTCAATGCCTCGCACGGTGTTGACCCGCTCGATCGGGTGTTCCCACCAATACAAGGTTTCTTCTAAGAGGAACGCATCCACGACGCGCTGCACATCGCTTCGAGTAATCATGATGACACAAAATGACTTCTCTTGCACAGAACGTGTCGTTTTTATTCACAGTTGTTACAAAGCATAAAGGCCTGGCGGCTCACAGTCTTTTGCCCGTCAGGTCGGGCATCGACTTCATCTTGTAATTCCTGTTTAATCACCCGTTTCAACTGCTCGGCCATGATCATTATGATCATTCAACACTAAATTGTCGCAACTCCATTGACTCAAAAATTCTTGATACGACCGTCCTTGCGCACGGGCTTTCAAGAAAAATAAAGCATAATGACCGCAGGTTTGACTATCCAGGGCTTGCAGGGTCTGGTCACTGCGAGTCAGGTACTTCCATTGACCCCACCATTGGTGCAACTCCGGGTTGGTGTACACGTGCAGGGGTAGACCATAACTGTCAAAGACCTCGCACTTGTTCTTTTCCGTCCACAGTTCCAACCAATGCTGTCCCGGTTCTCCCGCCGGATCAGTGTTGACAATGTACGCTTGACGGACATCCTTGGCGGGTGATCGGGGCAGCTGGTCGGCTGGGTGCACCCCGTGAAACACGCGTCGTAAGGTGGGATCCTCCAGGGCCAGGGTCCGCAACACAGTATCACTGAGCGCCACAAACTCCATGACCGGTGTCTTCTGACTTCTGAGGCTACATCAACCGTTGATGTTGTACTTTATACCTCCCAGATGATTGATCTCATACATGGTTTCATACTCGCTCCATACCAACACGGTGATGTTGTGACCCACTGCGGCTGCAAAATCAATCACCAGTCGCACATTGCCCGATTGACGGGGGTTGCGATACTGGGGGTCATCTGCTTTTCCACTGGGCAGCAGCATAGGTATCTTGTCTTCTTTGTAGACACCCATGGCTTGTAGAAATCGATCGTACCCCAGTAGATCTTCATAGGCTTGGTCTCCAGTCAATTGCAGGGTTCTGTAAGGGTATTCTTCTCCATTCAAGGTCTGTCGTATTTGGGTGACCCCAAACTTTTCAAAGGCAAAGGGGTATCTTTGCAGGTCTCCATTGAAGGTATTGGAATGCAATAACCCGACAATCAGTCTGTCAGGAAATCGACCCACAAACACATTGTCTTGTTCCCACTGGGTGGTGCGTCCATCGAAGGAAAACGTGCGAATTTCGCTCCGCACGACGGGGTAGCGGGCAATCTGTTTGCCCAGCTGTCTTTCTTTCTGCAGTTTAACATAGACGCTGGCATTCAGGGTCACCTTTCTCATCAACAAGGTGACTTTGATGTCTTCATTGTGGATGGCTGGAAATTTTTTGGCAACCAAGGTTCCTTTGTTAGGGGTACCCATCAGGTAGACGGTGTTGGGGTTGAGGAAGAGTTCAAAGTCCATCTGGATATTGGGGACCAACAATTTGCCTGTCTTGAGGGGTGGCAAATGGGGACGAATGATGAAGGTGTGCCAATGTTCGCTCAGCAACCGGCTGGTCAGGGCTCGCAATTCTGTATTGCCACTCCAATTGGCACCAGTGGGCACATCAGAATTGGCTCCTGTAGCTCCCATTTCTTCAATCACATTAAGCTGATTGACCCATCCTTGTGGGGCTAGCTTGGTGGCTCCTTCGTCTCGGCTGTAATTCAGGAGGGTTTCTATGTAGGCTCTGTAATGGTAGGTGTTGCTCTGCTCAGTCATGAGGACCCCATTCTCAGGGTGATATCTCGAAAGATGGTGTGACCGAAATTGTTGACGCAGTAGGTGTTTCTGCTATTGTTGGCATCAGAGGCGTTGAGATCAGCCTTCAAGCCAAGATACCCAGCCGCTGGATCTGTCAGACGCACTTTGACTTTGAATCGGAGGGAATTGGGATCGTAATAATCGTCGGAGCCTGGAATGGAGAAGGTGATGGGCTGGATGCCCGTCAAGGCGGGTTGAAACTCCACCTCCCGAGAGGCTTCGTACCGATAATCCACATCGGGCACGTCAAATAGTTGGAGCGACATGATGCGAACTGTCCACGTTGTTCAACGGCGTCCTCTTTTTATAGCGGAGCTCCTTGCGCGCGCGAAGCGCGCGCGAGCGGAGCACCATAACTAAGACAAACTACCCATCCGAGAAATTTTGGTTATGACGTCAGCGTACGTCCGTCCGTACGGACTTTCCGGGTAGTGGAAAGTAGTCCGCATGGACTCTTGGGGTAGGGGAAAGTAGAGATTTTTTGGCGGGAAATCGCATGGCGCAACGTCGCGCAATTATATCGCGCAACTGGTTTTGAAAAAAGAAATTTCAAAGCAACTTTCGACAGAGCCTTTATAACTTTTTATTACAACTTACGAAAGCTATTATGTCAACAAACAACAGCAGAGAGATTCTAGCGTGTAGATGACAGGTTTTAAGCAGAGAGCAAAGAGAAGGTGAACGGCAGAGAGCAAGAGTCAACACGCGTAGAACAAGCGAAGACGATCGCCAGAGAGAGCGCGTTAGAAGTAGAAGAAGAAGACAACATTTTAGCGTAGAAAGTCGGCAAGTAGAAAGAGTCAGAGCGAGAAGAAGGAGAGAAAATTATAGTGAAAAACGGCTGCAAGCAGAACGAGACAGAGCTAGAATGAACAGACACAGGCAACGCGAAAGAGAAATACAAAGGCAAAGAGAACGGCAGCAACATAATGACATGATGACAGAAAGTGTTGTGTTAATGTCTTTATGGCCCCGCGTTGATTTCAAACTGATCTCGGACGCGAAAATTCAGCCAATCATTTAAAAATACAAGCAGGGAAGACAGAGGCTTTTCACTTTTCTCACCATAGTCACGCGTTGATCACGCTCTACGACCGTCCAATTTTTATGCTCTGATTGGTCAAAATTTGACAGGTGAGTTCATGCAGAAAATTTATACAGCATCTTGAACCTTGTTTACTTTGACAGCTAAAGCTGACAGAGTATTTTGTCAACTTGTGATGTTTTTTACTGTCTTTTCCCACTGGATGCTTAAAATGAAATACAGCTGCTATCAACAGTCTTCTTTGATTCATGGCTGGTTTGTTTATTGAATTTTTGGTTGCGAAATGCGCCGGTTGTCATAGTTGGAAATCCGATTTCGGATGCATCGTTTTCGTTTTTCACCTTGCTGGATGCGGGGTTGAAAAGTTCCTCAAACGATTCTGGCCTTACTTGATAGCTTTCAAGAGCTGCATCTCGAATGGTAAGCCTGAGTAATTATTGTATACATTATTGTATACATTGTAATTATTGTTTTTTTATATCTAATTTCATGAAGTCCAGCGCAGTTTATGAGGCTAATTTATGCACGTTTGTATTAAGATCTGAGATTATGATCTGATCTAGTATATATAAGCTTACAGAGCTTTAAAAAGCCTTTAGTCGATATTTTCTCTCCGCATATAGAATGAAAAAACGTTCCGAAGAGTATTTAGTTATAATTTTGGCTGTAGAAAGAAAGCTTTTAGCGATTTTCTTGCCTCGAGTTCATCTCTGAAAACAGTAAACACCAGGAAGCCGGCTAAAAGCTTTAGGCTTAAGCGTAAAGACTCAGGATTTTTAGAGACGCTTTAATACTTGTCTTCGTGAATGAAAATTGTTGTCTCTGTAAATGTTTCACCGAATTACATTTCTTTTATTGATTGTTAGTAGTCTCTTGCAATTGCTTTGCTGTTTGTTTTCAGTCGTTCACAGACAACGCTTGCAGGAGTACTCAAAATGCCGCGCGTTTGCACATCGTTATAAAACCATTAAATAAAAAAAAATAAGCAATAAATTCTTTATTATGTTGAAGCGTAACTTTTTTAATGTTCACTGAAAATTTGGCGCTTGTCAAAAGTGACAACCGGCTGGCCGTATAGGTGATTTTGGAAATTTTTTGAACGGTTTTGCTAAAAGCCCCCGCGTGCTTCGTACGGTTCTGAATATTGAATGAGTGCAATTTGTCTTGAAAAATTGTGAAAAACTGCATTTTGTCTGAGGTTTGTATGATAAAAACAGCGCCTCATATTACTGTTTCACCTCAGATGTGATGTATAAAAAGTATGAAATGTTGGTTTACACGCTCCCAGAGTTGTTGGCAAGATTTTTTTAAGTAGACTTGTCGAACGCAAAAAACTCGGCCTGATTTGTTTTTTCCATGAATTCGTTTTCCAGGCCTAATCTACTGTGATCAAGAGCTATTATGGCTCTTAATTGTGATCGACGATGATTGCTATTTTTTGGGTGTATATATACCGGCTATCAATTCGATGAAAGATTTTTTTTCACTCTAAAATCACTTAACCTTAGCTTTCCCTAAAAAGTCACATATGTGCCCTTAAGTTAACTGATTTGTGGATTACAAGTTTATTGTTTAATTTAAATCATAAATTTATTAATGGGAGCTTCGCTTTTAGCCCTGGCTAAATCTATATATTACCTTTTCGCATTCTGTACCAATCATGGATGGGATGAGCGGATGGAAAGGGGCGATGAGGAAAATCGATTTGGATGCGTTTTTTCAACTTGCTAAAGACGTTGCCCCCTTTCATTCGTTGCTTCCTGGCTTTGGCTTGATTGGCCC